GTGGGTCACATATTTCATAACAATCCAAAAGTACAGCTCTTAAAGTTACTCTCCACCACTGATTATTAATCTATCGGACTAATCTGCGGCATAGGAATTAACACAACCACAGACTCTGGTCACTTTAGAAGGACTGGGCCAAAACTACAGAACTTCTTGCTCTAGCTGTTTGGTGCGGCTCACTGCAACCTTCACTTACAATTAATTCCTTATAATAAGTTCGATTTACAAAGAAGAACAACTATTAACTGCTTCTGTCACTTCATTCAATTTGATCAGATTTGTAGGGACGCCAGATGACGTGCGGAAGCTGACGCAGTCCAAAAAAGTTGGAATCTGACAGAATAAAGACTGCAGACACACAGAGAGAGAGAGAATGCACCATTCAACACTCAACGCCAGATCAATGGTGAATAAAGTGGAGAAGAAAAAAAAAAGAGGGTGAGGTTGTAAAGCAGAGACGCTGTCAGCTTGGGCTTAAAATAGAAGCGGTTGATCAACACAACCCTGATTAAAATCATAATGAAAAGTAGGAATCAAGGTAAATAAAGGCTGAGGAGAAGACAAACACCAGCAGCAGCAGCACATTTCAAGCGGCACGAGGTGCAGCAGTGTGTGTAATGTGATTGTCCACAGTTTGTATTCTGGTGCGCTCAGGAGCAGCACAGGGGACGGATCCAAACAAGAAAACGCATTTAAGGCGACGACGGAAACCCTCAAGAAGTCAGACCGGAGAGCCACAACATCCAAATGAACTCAACTGAGAATGTCTATTGTTAAAGTTTTTTGTTCTGGAGAAAAAAAAAAAAAGCGTCCACGCAACCCTTGGGCAAAGTCAAACATCTCAACAAAGAGATTTAATTACATGCTTACAGGAGGCATGTAAAGGTCCCGGAATCACTTCTGCATGTAGATTATGCACCGCTTCTAATTACTGTACGCTGCTGAAAAAACTGGTCTGGAGGACAGAACCAAGATGCCATCTGCCGCGCACCGTTACTGCAGCGCGGAACGATAACTGTGTGTCTGAAGATGGGATGTTGGTGTCCCTAGCAACAGCTTTCTGTTTCGTGCATGCATAAAAGCAGCAGAGGTGCAAATGCAAGTGTAATACCATCTCCTTCTGGCACTAGTCCATCTTACGATGCTGCTCCGGCTCCCGTAGGGAAGTGCAGGCGGCGCTCTGAGCGGAGCAGCTGGGAATGTTTATTCAGATCAGGTGGAGCAGCGTAGTTTTGGTGCCGTTTTGGCATCAGAGTCTCCTGCGGCTCCACCTGCTCTAATTGGAGGCGGCACCGAGTTTTTCATCTTGTAAATATTTAAAAACTATCAAAGGTACATTTTTAATGAGAGTAAAGCAGAGCACGGACTTTATGGTTTATTCTTACTAATAATGTGATGTTAAAGGCTTCTATTAAAGAGCAGCAGGAGTCGGGCGAGAGGAGCTGATCTGATTTATGGAGGCACAAGCCAACAGGACATTTCATTAGGCGTTGACAGATACAGTTGTTTATATTTGGAGTAACACAAACTCCAACAGAAAACTTTCTTTAAATTCCCTTTTACATGTTTTGGGAACTTTGCAGTATTTACCCTTCACTTTTCATTATTATGATTATTAGGGCCCGACTGATTTATCGGCTGGCCGATTAAATCAGTCGATTGTAGGCCTTTTCAAAATACTCGTAATCGGCCGGAGTTTTACCGATTAATCGCCGATATATTCTTAATTTCTCATAAAACAGTGAATTCTGTCAAGTGTCGGAGTCACTTTCGTAAATTCATTTTGTACAATTTGATTTTGTAACAAGACAAATATTCTCCGTGGCTAAAGCGTGTAAAAACACTTCAGCAACACCATGAAAAGCTCCAGTTTGGCTGCTGCTTGTTGTAAACTTTGCTCATGGAGATGATGAAGGGTTAAGATCACTGACCAACGTTCAGCGGTGAGATCACTCACTCTGCCGCAAAGTCACCAGCACACAGAGCCTCACGCTGACAGAGAGCTACAGCTTTTTAAACTTTTTAACTAACTTATAACTTACATTTTGATTAACTTATTCTCATCAACTTTAAAGAACGCTCAGTCTTTGCATAAATAACGTTCTGCAGTAACTTCACTCATCATGTTGCTGATATAAACCTGTGGCCAAAAACTAAAGTCATCAGTACAGCTGGTAGCTATATTCATGCTCCATAGAAAGAACAATGCACATTTAAAATAAAATACCCACACTACAGACATATTTGTTAGGAAAACTTATTTTTTAACTGATGCATATTATGTTTAATGCTTTGTTGCATGTTTTTAAAACTTCTCTCTGCTGTAAAGTTAAACAAATAGTAAAGTACAAACAGTAAAATGTTCTGCCTGTGATTCACATCTTTGTGGTTGTAGCATTAAGGGACCAAAAAAGAAGCTATTTTATTCATTACATATTTTTTAATTAATCAGCCAATTAATCGGTTATCAGATTTTTTTTTTTTGCTAAATATCAGCATCAGCCTCAAAACATCCATATCATTCGAGCCCTATTGATTATTCTATATCATTATGACTGATTGGGTTTTGCTGTGGGCGGGACGTTGTTCAACACCACAGAGCAACATCAGCGCTGGAGTAGCACAACATTAAATCAACGTTTTTATTTTAAAATCAGATATCAGTGACAAACCCAAAACTGAGAAAAAAAAAAGCTGAACATCAGATCCGATGAGCAGCCAAACCAATAATCCGTCTCTGTTGACTTTGATAACGTATTCCTTGTAGTGATAATATATTCATCTGACTCCAGACCTGCTGACCAGACATGTGAGGACAGACTGCTCCTGTCTGGTCACCAGCTAAATTTAGTTCGCCACGCCGATGCATAATTGTCACATCTCGCAGATATTTATTTGCCACTTCTACATCAGTCGGGCTGCATTTCTGTCGGAGCAATAATAGTCCTGTGAAGAGTCATGAAAGGGAGAAAAGCAAAACTTTTGCCATCACGTCTCCTTTTGTGTCAGCACCAATTCGGTAATTCAGAGTTCCTGAATACTGATTACTGCATTAATAATTCATTACTTCATATGATCTAAACCTTGTCACTGCCATTTTCTTTTATTCATGGAACAAAACATGTTCCCGGCTCCTTTTGCCTCCATCAAATTACTTTATTTTAATGACTTGCGTTAAGAAAAGCAGCAATCCAGCTCCCGAGTACGAACAAAACCTCAAGACGTTCTCTTACTTTCAGCTGTGCCCAGGGGACTCTGGATGGGTCCCTCTGTGCACATTTGCTGTTGACTGAATTGTCTGGTTTGTCACCGTGATCTGGGACATGGAGGTGCTGTGCATTTTAAACCTTTTTTTAGCCTTTCTGGGTCAATGAACCTTCGCTCTAATGCACCCTTCACTCTCTGCACAAAGCTGCGATTGTTTGTCTGGGGTCACGCTTAGAACTTTACGGACCATTAGCTTTATAAATAAAACTTTAAAGTCTGTTTATTGTCACCAAAAATACATCTGTCATAACTCATCCCGCCACACAGTGATACCATCTTGTTTTTTCTGGGTGTAGGTTAGCTGCATTTTCCCCCCATTTGCCGTGTTACTGACAAATGACAGTATGTAATTAAAGCTATCACGAGGACTGCCACGCGTCTATCTTTAGCAGGTGGAAGGTGTGCTAAAAGTGCTGCTTTTTCTGGACAGTTCTGGTGATTCTTTCCACCCATGTATTATATATGCTAACCTCGTCTCGGGTCGGAGGGAGGTGAGGCCGGCACGCATGAAATATTTTTACTGTATATACATATTTTCTCAGAGGCTTCGACTTCTTGCATTATTGAAGCTTCGGACAACTAAAACCCATCCAGGTCCTTTCCATACCGTACCAGCTTTCTCTTCGAGGCAACGTGTCGCACGAACGGGGGAAAAAAAATGCAGAGAAACACCCTGGATCAGGAACAGAACCCAGAGCCACATTTAGAGTCGAATTCACCCGACCGGTTTGGTTTTTGGACCTCAAGAGCAAACCGAGACCAGGTGTAGTTCTGTATTCTGTTACGATATAGTCAAATGTCTTCATCCCCTTCCATTAAAGAAAAGGCAAAATCCACAAAAGTCACTCAAATAACTAGAAACTGAAGAAAATAATAATAAATAAAAATTTGCTAAATTATAATTTAGTGAAATAAAACATTTATTATGAATTGTGGTTGAAAAGAATAATAATAAAAATAAAATTTTAAAAAAAGACCCAGACAAATTAGACACTTGATTGCAGTGATTGGCTCAACAAAATATTTGTTTACGGGTCCCATCAAGCTTGTTTTTTTTTAAAATATATATATTTCTGTTGAACCACAATTCAAAAAAATCAGCCGTACGTGTCTGAACCAGAAATTAATTCTGATGAAGAATCACCCCCAACCTGCAAGGTGACATGTTTGGTTTCTTAGGATTGTTATGCATACATCCTCAAAACCCAGATTTTTGAAACTGTCATCAGTACACCGAAGATAAAAATAACAAGGGGATCTTAAAATAATCAACCACAATATCTACTCAAAGCTGGCTAACATTAGCTACAATTAATAACCGGTCCAAGTAGGGCTGTGGCAGCAAATTATACTGAATATATACTGATGTTTTTTTTTTTTAAATTACTTATGAATTCCTCACTAAAGCCATAAGATGAAAAATGTGTGAGTTCTTCTTTTAAAAAATGACTCAGCATCACTGTAGCTCATTATTTTACCACAAAATTGCAGTTATGCACTTACAATTAACACTGATCATCTGTTACTAGAAGCGTTTGCCAGTTTGTGTGAATTAAAAAGCCTCATAATGCTTTCATTTTTTTAAAAAGTGCAGCTTGTAGGAGAAGTCCAGCTCTACCAAGTAGAAAAAAAAAAAAAAACGTCAGCCTGATGAGCCTCATGCTGAAATGAAAAATCCTGATGAAAAGCCACCAGACCAGGTAGCATATGAAACACAGAGTTTTTCTTACCTCAGCCCGTACAGGACGGTGCCGTCCGGGTGCAGTCGGATCATCCGGTTTTTTACCGTCACACCATGAAGAAAGGACTTCTTGTCGTTAAGGAAGTAGGTGTCGGGGAGCCACAGCTGGTCTGCTACACGGTTGTCCAGAGTCAGGTTCAGGTTCAGCTCACCGTAGGCCAAACGCTTGTCTCGCCAACTCTGCTGGAAATACATTGTGATGGTATAGTCCTGGAGGGAATGACGGGAAAAATAATATGAATTTACAGAGAAGAAAAAATATATATATTCATCTCTGTTCATCTGATGTTCCATATCAGCATATCTGTGTGGAATTAAGAGATAATTGATGACCCGTTCAGATACCAGCAGACATGGGTGATCAAACTGTTAGTAACAAATAAAAACAGATCTGATAAATTGATTAGTAATTATTGTCAGTTTTAAAACAGCAATCGAAAGACAGCACTATAAATTATATAGCCAACAAGAACAAAGTGATGCATTAAAAAAACACAAAACTCTATTCAGTCCTTTACCAAAAGAAAGACAAAACTAAATACATGAATGATCACAAGATCTGGAAAACAGTTTTTAAATCGGCTCAGCATCTGTATCAGCACAGAGTAGGATTAGCACACAGGCAGGCTTCTTTATAACACCTAGCTGGAGATGTAATGTCTGTCGTCTAATGCATCAACATCCCTGTCATCAAAGTAGTGTCATAAATAAAAAACCACACCGGCTTCATGTAAAAAAATACAAGTGAATTAAAGTATAATAAAGTTTAGCATGAAGATATCTAGCATCCCTGACAATATGATGTAATATTCATGATATGAAGTGTTTCGTGCTGAAACGTGTCACCTCTGAGCTACTACCGTCCTCTCATTGGTTGCTAAGAATGAACAACTTCACATGCAAATATAGGAAACGAACTCTATATTACCTTCAGAAAAACACAAACATTTTGACATTTGATTGCATACAAAAACACAGCGAGCGGTTACATTAACATTTCACGTGTTTAATCTGGAAGAGCAGTTTTTATATCTCACAAAATATCCGCTGTGACGGAGAACTAAACATGAAGTTACCACGTTTCTGCTGCGCATCTCATGAATCAAAGACTCTGTACGAGAGGAGACGTACATCAATCATAAACAAACACGTTTAAAACAAAGTCTGCCGCAAGACAAACTCAAAGAGGGTGAAAGAAAACAACAGGAAGCAGACATGTGGGAGGAGTGACGACGCCACACTGAGCGAAATAAAGAGAGCGCCGAGAGACAGAGTGACGTCATGGCTCAGACGTCGGCCATATTGCTTTCTTCACCGCTCGGCCTGCATTTCTGTCAGAGCTGAAGGATTCGCCCCGAACTACCTGCAGAGATTATACTGCGACCAGCAGGTCAACGTAAAACACCTCGTCGGATGCTGTTCTCATCGTGACAACCGAGGTTTCACTCAGTAACAATGAATGTAAAACACATGACGCCCTGCAGCCTTCACCCTGCTCTGGCCGGTCAGTCCAGCTGATCCGTCTAAAGCACATCTGGCAGCGCTCGTAGCCGGGAAGCCAGAGAGGGATCACGTCTGTCAGAGCACCAGCAGCTCCTTCTGGTCGTTCGGATTAGTTCCTCTATTACTGCACAACTACACCGCATTCCCATGTTTGTTCTTTAAGAGGTTAAACCGTGAAATATTTCCAGTCTGACAGAGCCGCAGTGTTCTCACAGAAGCCCAGAGTTTGCATCCTGTGTGGACTTCAGTCATTGTTTTGTTAGCCTTCGGTGTCAAGAGTGTACGGCAGCTTTGGTAAAAACATCACTTTATGGTTTTTATTGATAGCAAGAGTTAGAAGCTCGGTTTGGCTTTGGTACCAAAACTGGTTTATAGAAATAGAACAAATTGGAAATACAACCCTTGTACATGTTTAAAACTTCTTATTTCTAGGCTGCCAAAGTGATGAACCTGTCCCATATATATGCAGTTAGCTGGAAAAGAGTAGTGAAATAAATGTGATGTATTTATTTATTTTTAATATATTTTTTGCAGGAAAGGGAGGAGAAGAATGAGGAGAGACCTGCAGCAAAGGGTCGTGAGCGGGAGTCGAACCCTCGACCTACAGCCCCTGTTCATGGGTCGCCCGCTCAGCTGGGTGAGCTACAGGGGCGCCTGTGATTTATTTATTTAACATGTATTTGTGATGTAACATGATTTAGAAGAAAACATATTTCCCTCAAAATGTTATCAAGAATGAAGTTTAGTTGTTGCTAATTATTTTGAGACAGGACACGACTGTATTGTCTCTCCATCAAGCTCCTCGTTGGCAGTGAGGTGGAGGCATGCAGCCCTCTAAAGCAGCGGTCCCCGACCACCAGGCCGCGGACCGGTACCGGGCCGTGGGTCATTTGGTACCGGCCGCACAGAAAGGAAAAAAAACAAACATTTTATTGGTTTATTTTTATTTCTAGCGGAGTCTGCAGGGTGTTTTATTTTGAAAAAAGACGAGCTCATCTTCCTGTCACATCCATCTGTGCTCGTTTCTCACACTTGACTCTGATTAGTTGTTTTTTTTTTGTCATGCTCGGCCGTTAAATAAAGCCGTCAGTCTAACTGAGGCCGAAATAAACAAACAAACATCTCAGGAGAGTTTCTTTGGAAAGTCGGAGGAAGAGAAACTTTTAAATAGAAAAAACTACTATTTTCTGTTATGTGTGCGATGACTGGTCCGTAGAAAATTGCCTAAAACTGGTCTGTGGTGCAAAAAAAGGTTGGAGACTGCTGCTCTAAAGTATCTCAGTGAAGGCGGCGGTGACAGAAGCTGCTGTGTGCGGGTTCACCGGCCACATCCTGGGTGGTGAGGACGAACATAGACAAGCCCAGCGAGGTTTCAACTTACCATGTTTACTTCTGAGATGGAGTCGATGCTTGCTATGTTGATGCTCATTCCTACGATGACTGGAGGACCTGCGGGAGCAAAAGGAAAGCTTGATGTCACCAAGAAGGTACAAAAAGAACAACATCCATCCGCTGTGCTGCACTAAAGGAGGAGCAGGGATGGTTTAAAACTTCTGTTTAACCTACTTTTAATTGCACTTAAGTTAGATTTTGTTTACTGGCGAATGCAAAACCAATAAGAGAGCGACTGTCCTCTCTTTACAGAGCTTCAACTCAGACCGAACTCCTTCATCTGTCCTGCAACAGCCCCAGTTAACAGACAGAAGATCACTCTATCTTCAGCCACATTTTAAAGCAAACTGCTGCTCAGACACACATATTCCGTCCAACATGGCGGTGAGACTGTACGCAAAGCACAATGCAAAGATCAGTTCCTCCCAGAAGCTTACGAGGCAACACAGAGGAAATGCACTCATCCACGCTAATTCGTAGAGGGGCAGCTCATGTGAAGGAACACGGAGAACAAACCATGCCTCATTTACATGATTACAGTACATGTTGTAGACATGTAAGCAGCTCTGCACGTCGGCTCCCTTACATGTACCGTAAACACTTCGGCCCACTTCGGTATTCAGACACCTTTAGCTTTACAAGGATCATCCATTCACAGAGACACGGATACACCTACATTGTCTCCAACTTCAGAGAATATTCATGAAATATTCAGAAGCAAAATATGTACTTAACATCTGTGTGCTTACAATATACTTTGAATAATTGCTATGATAAATTACCACGCGCTGGGGTATTCCCTGAGCCTCCAGCTCGCACAAACTTGATTAATTTTGTTGGCGTCGGCTCTTTTCAGATTAGGTTTGATCCCAGCTACATTTTTTTTGCATCGCGCCACGACCACGTTCGGCCGACACAATGCTGCAGAAGGTAAACTGCAGAGAGAGCCGTTCGCGCCACATTTCGCTTGTTTTCCTGTTCTTTTTTCCGACGCCTGGCACCCTCCGCTCGAGAAGCTGTTACCCCAGGCAGTGGCCTTTGGGAGGGAACAGATTTGTTGCCACTGATTCTCGATGTTTTATTAATACAAATCCTCTCTCTTTCCACCATACGCCGCCCCCCTCTCGCTCTCTTCCCCCCCGTTCCTTCCCTCTTGTCACCTTTACTTTGCTTGATCAGGCCACAAAATATGAATTGCTGACACAGAAAACAAGAAAACAGCGCAAAAAATAGTGCAGCGATTGGTTCACGTGGCGGAGCTGAATCAGTACTTTCAGAGAGTGCTTCATGGGTTTATGGTGGAAATGCTATTTGCATAGGAATCATAAACAACACCCAAACAGCTGTACTGCGGTATGCGCTCCCCATATATCATCGTATTTAAAGGAGAACCAATTCTACGGCCTTCTACCTAAATGATAGAACGCAGCGGGTAAATGATTGCATTACTGTTCTTGCATATTTCCCCTCGATCCCCTTTTCTCTCTGTGCCGCTCTGTATTTATGTCCTTCTCACTGACTCACCAATTAATAACAAAACAGAAGCTGCTAAGTCCTGAACAGTAGAAGTTTGTTAAGATTTCCAACTTTTTATTTTTCCTCCCTTTAAAAAATTTGCACAATCAGCTTCCATCAGCAGCCTGAAAGAGAACGAAGCTTTAAAGAGTTCAAGTTGCACCGACGTGTCAGGTGGGAGTCATCTTTTAAAACTTTAGGAGGAGGTGCGGACCGTCGTGGCCCACTGTGACCCACGGATTCATGTTTAGGTCCTCTCAGAACACATCTACAACTTCTTTTCTGAATCATCTTAAAATAAAACACTTTGAAGGGGAAAAAAATACAATCTTGACAACCGGCAGGAGTCATGATGATGATGTTTATGGGTGTGCAAGTTCAGAGCCCGTAAGGATTTTTGACAACGTATAAAAACCGCTAATCTGTCCAAATATCGTCACCATGCAGGAAGAAAGACTCCAGAGGCCAAAGAAGGTTATTTAACTATACATGTGATTATAGGAGATGACTATAAATACATTCCAAGCGGAGCTGTCAGTCTGCGCTTTGACCTCACTGACTATAGTAATAACAGCATAGAGCCACAAACTGAGCGTCTGCTTCGGCTCCTCTTACATGAAATATGACTGGAATTAATACATAATCATTTACACGAGACTAATTAGTTTATTCAAACTGTTGTATTAAAGTGCGATTGGCCTCGATGGATTAAACAGCTTCTTTTTTCATGTTGTCCCAACATGAACCTAATTTATCAAACGGTTATGTGTGTACCGCATTAGTGCGTTTCAGAGTATCCCTGCACTCCAGAACAAATAAAAAGTAGACTTCAGAGAAAGTGTAACAGGGCCCGAGCACCCCAAGCAACTCAGAACCGACGGCTCAGTGACCTGGAGCGATCGGGAAGCCGAGACCATTGTCGACCGCGGCTCAAACAAATGCTTTAACACGCAGTTGTTTGCATGCTTGGCCAGCCTCAGACAGCCTCCTGCAGGGTGCACTTCAAGGATCTGACCCAGCGTGGGACCACAGAGATCGTTGTTTTGTCTGCGTCTGCACCAAAACTGTTCTCCATAAATCACTTTGTGCCTCGTTCACGAGTGATGAAGCGTCCTTACTGTGTCCACTGTTCTCGAATGCACTGTTGTAAAACTAGTAATTGTGTTTTAAATGTAAGAATATCCTGGTATGTTTAGATCACAGGAAGTGTAATAACGTTACTCTATGAAAAGCTGTATAAATAGGTCTTTAAAGTTTAAAAAAAAAAGCAAGTATTTCCTCTGCATTTATTATATCCCATGCACTGTACTGATACAGACATGAAGCTGGAAGCCATTAACTGCAGCCCAAGTCTCTGTCATGGTGGCCCACTGCTCACTAAACCCTCATCAGCCACACAGCTACAGAAACGACCTCATTCATCCACAACAATCAAAATTCAAACTAGTGAAAAAACAGCCAGAAAACTGCTTCGTTAAGAATTTGGCCGGACTCGGGCCGGACTGGAGCACGGCGACGGCGGAGCCCCTCTGGGGGCCGGACTGGAGCCGGCTACGGAGCCCCTCTGGGGGCCGGACTGGAGCACGGCGACGGCAGCGCGATTCTGGCGGCCGGACTCGGGCCCGACTGGAGCACGGCGAAGGCGGAGCCCCTCTGGCGGCCGGACTCGGGCATGGCGACGGCGTAGCGTCACTGGGGGCCGGACTGGAGCACGGCGACGGCGGAGACCCTCTGGGGGCCGGACTCGGGGCGGACTGGAGCACTGCGACGGCGGAGCCCCTCTGGGGGCCGGACTCGGGCCGGACTGGAGCACTGCGACGGCGGCGCCCCTCTGGGGGCCGGACTGGAGCACGGCCACGGCGGAGCCCCTCTGGGGGCCGGACTCGGGCCGGACTGGAGCACTGCGACGGCGGAGCCCCTCTGGGGGCCGGACTCCGACCGGACTGGAGCACGGCGACGGCGTAGCGCCACTGGGGGCCGGACTCGGGCCGG